AAAAAAAAAGAAAGGAACTCCAGATACATTAATTGAAATAAAAATTGAGAACAGTAGATATTATTAGGTGGTTCCTTCAGTGTGAATTTTTTAAGGGATACATACACACGTTGGTAATTATATCAAACTGTGTTCTAAAATAAATACAAGAAACTAAAATTGCTCATTATAGTTACCTCTGAAGAGAGTGACTAGAGGCCAGGAAGTAGAAGAACCACATTAATGTACAAACATTCAAAAACAAAACAGGTAACAGAAATAATCTGGAGATTTTTTTTCACTGAAATTCAATAAATGTTACTGTAAAACAACAATGATCATGATCGTCACTCAGACTGGTGGTGGTGTCTGGGGAAAGGAAGAGGATTTCTACAGTGAGTTACATCCTCAGCTCCATTTTTCAAGTTTAAAAGACAGGGTCGTTTGAAGTCATCCACATTGTGCTTGATATTTCAGTTCTCCTGTTTCAGGCTGCCAGAGTGTTAGGATTATCCTGCCTGGCTAACTTAAAATTTTTTTTTAAAAAAAAGAAACCCTATTTAATGAGGTAAGGGGAACCCACTACTATTATGGACTACTGGAGTATATTAGATTATTTTGCTGCATTCATGCACCTACAATATTTAAATGGCAATGGAATACCCATCTCTGACAAAACTAAACAAAAAAAGGGGGAATGAGGCAAGTGGAAAGCAAGAAAGAGCCCAGAGCAAAAAATTAGTGGCAGAGACTGGAAGATAATCAAGAGGAAAATTAAAACACTTACACCCACACCCACTTCTTAAGACAGACATGATATATCAGTCAAGCTTTCCTCTGGAGATAACAACCTCAGCATCCACTTTAGTTGTCAACTACTACTTGCAGCTGTAAGCCAGGTGTTGCAGGCTATGAAAAGGCTAGCATAGTCTGTCCAAATCTTGCCTTTTATAACATGAAAGGGGTAGAACAGCTAATCCTCAAAGAGTATGAAGAGGCAGAGAACACCACTGCTGAATGTAGGAGACTATCTTCCTCACCCACAATGCAAAGGCACATCAGGGCCAGCTACTACTTGCACTAGAAAAGAGCCAGGTCTGTGTACAACACAAAGGCAGGAGAAATCTCTGCTGCCCTACAGAACCTCAGGGAGCCCTGCTCAACATGATAGAATCTCTCTGAGCTACACAGATCTGCTGTAATAGTTTAGCAGTTCCTGACTGCTCCCCAGAGAGAATCAGGTAGGACTAAAATTCAAGGAAGATAATCCTCTATATTTATTGCCCCCATGAAAGAAATTATAACTGCTTACTTTCTATGACACTCTTTTGCAATAATGCTTTCCAAAGTAGGAACTTGCCTCTGTGTTTTATTTCCAGAGGAGCTAACTGTGTCTTTTATAAAGCAGTTGGCTTTATACACAGGTGCATGAAAGGTCTCCTCTCCCTCACAGTATTTACGGAACATGAAAAGGTCTATTTGCCCTCATCCCTGAATCCTTCAATGCCTGAAATTCCCCCATTAGTGATTCATACCAAAAGGTCAGGATAATTCTTTTTTTTTGTTGTTCCGAATACCTTCAGGGCAGGTTTGGCTGGCTTGAGTTGTGGGGAATCGAACCAGGACAACCTGAGCCTGACTGCTTTGTTGCAGTCACTTAAAGAACTGAGCTAAGGGGCAAGCCCCCCAGGTCAGGATAATTCTAAGTGTACTTGTTTAATAATGAAAAGAAGAAAAACTCACTGATCCCAGCATCACAGTATATTGGCTCTTAACTTTTTGTTGTTTTGCTTATTAGTCCTTTCAAGTACTGGAAAAAGCAAACTTTCTTTTCAGAAAAACACACATAGATGAGTACACAATATGTTTTCCATACAGTGCTGCAGGTTCAAATTTCTTCAGAAGCCCAGGGAAGGGCCCCCTTTAGCCCAGGGTTAAGAACCCTGGGCTCAGCAGCAACAACTCTGGAGAATCTCCACATCCCTAGCCACCACCCTGCAAAAGCACCTGTGCATCTAGTCAGTGCTAGGCTTCAAATGAGAGAAGGCACTATTGAAGAGAGGGTGTCACTCCTTCATAAAATTGCCTGGAACTGATTGTCTGGAGTCCAGATTATAATTTAGGACTCCCTCTTTTCCTGAGCAGGGAATGTGTGTTTCTCATTCTGCCTGGTGCTCAGAAATAGGTTCTCCTTGCTTCAGAGATACCAGTACACTCCAAGAGATGCCCAACTGAGAGTAACAGCCATGCAAGTTCTCACACCACTTGCTGGCTGATCATTTTACCTGAGAAGTGAGGGAGGGAAAAATTTGAAAACTTTATGAATTAAGAGGGACTCACCTCTGAGGTTTTCGAATATCCCAGAGTCCTACTCCTTCCTTTGAATTGGCTGTGGCCAATAACCTGGGCTCCACAGGGTTAAACATGACACTGTGAAAGGCTGAAGGATAGTTTGCCAGGCAGAAAGGCTCTGTGAAAAAAAGAAATTAAGAGTCAGCTCATTTCAGGCACACTGGGTCAGAGGCAGGCAGATGACCACAAATATGAATGCACATAGGGAAACACAGTAGCCATCCCAAAGGGACACAAGCCCAACAGCATAAGCTGCCAATAGGGACCCTTCCTGAAGGGACCCTACCTCTGAGCCTGCATACATTTTCTGAGTGTAAGAGAAAAACAGCTACTTAAACAAATTTAGCCAAACTTTAAGTCATAATACTCAAAAATCTATATAACAACTTAAAGAGAGAAAGATAAATTTTTTTTACAGTTAGTAAAACTGAATTTCATATAAGTTAAAAAATTCATGATTTATGGTAGGATTATCTTTTTGATTGAAATTTATTAGTTTTAAAAGAACAAAAGCTCTTAAACTCCAAACAGATTTAATAAAGATAAAACAAGACAGTGAAAAAATTAAGATAAGGGGCTGGCGAGATGGCTCAGTGGTCTAAAGCACCTACATGGAACAAGCTTGGCAAAGCACAGGGACCACGGTTCGATCCCCCAGCACCACATGCCAGCCAGCCCCGCCCCCTGGAGTGCTGAGCTGGCCACACACACACAATAAATAAACAAATGTTAAAAAAAAATTATAAAAAAAAAAAAAAGAAAAGAAAAAATTAAGATAAGACAAAACAATAGCAGTTCTCCTAATTCATAATGTTACCTAAGTTGCTCAATATAGATTTCTATGATTTGATTGCCAGTATCATTTTTACCATTTAAAAATGCCTAATGCTTAAACTTCTCTTGCATCCAGCTAGTTCTTAGTCAACTTCACCTAGAATTCTTGCAGCCCTTTGTATAGATTTCAAGAAGGAATCACTTTGCTGCCTCCAAGGACACATCCCTGTGGAGACAGTCCTTTTCCACCTCTGATACCCACACACTGTGATGTACAAAGCTCTAGGAAGGTGAAGTGCTCAGTCATCTCTCACCCTCAGGCACTGAAACACAGGAAAACTTCCTCTCCCAAGCACAAAGAGACTCAGCTACAGTCACTGCTTGCTGTGACCTGGCCTGCCGAACTGTAACAATAAGCTTCTCTGATAGTCTGAACCTTAATGACAAACACAGCTCAGCATGGTCAATGCTTGAAATACAGGGCTAGGTTGTAGCTCAGGGTAGAGTACTTGCCACTTGTGTGATGTGGCCCTGGGTTTGATTCCCAGCACCATACCATATTCATTCTCTCTCTCTCTCTCTCTCTCTCTCTCTCTCTCTCTCTCTCCCCCCTTCTCCCTCCCTCCTCCCTCTCCTCCTTCTCTTCTTCTCTCTCTCTCTGTCTTTCTCTGTCTCTGTCTCCCTCCGTCTCCCTCCCTCCCTCCCACCCTGCCAATCAAAGCAGGTCAGATAGCAACTCTGTGTACATAAGTAAACATTATGAAGCTAAATTTAAGGATGAAGGTGTTCCAAAAGGTGGTGGAACTGGAGAAAGGGGCCTTTGAAGACAGCTGTAGAGAGAAATCTCTCTACAGCAAATGAGCTGAGATGTATTTCCTAAAGAACATGACAGAACGTCAACAAAAGTTCTTCATTTCATATGCAGAGACTAAAACAACACATCTGGAGGAGACACACACAAAAATTCCCTGCAGGGAATTACTATTTTGTGGTAAGGTCATATTCTATGGTTATTTTGTTTTCTAACAAAAGAGTAAAACTTGAAACTAGTGTTACACAAGGTGCACAGCATCCCTGTGCTTTATAAACAACCAGGAATATGTGTGTGTTGGCATCACCCAGTGCAGGTCCTTGGTGACTACCCTCCACCATAATGGGCCAATCTTTTGCTCCCTAGGGCCACTCAGGAGCAAGAGTTTGTGCAAATTCATAGGCATCTGGAAAAGGGTTGGCAAAGGTGCCTAACTTCTAACTACTTAGAGCAGGACAGGACTTCCAGATACACAAGCATGCTGCCACGTGAGCCTCACATTTCTACTTCCTTAATACCACCCATACCCAGGTACTCAGGTCATAAACTGACTTCAGTGACCCTGTCATCAAACTGCTCAACACAGCAGACTTCTTTTTGTACAGGGATCCTACCTCCATGAGGAGACTCCCGGATGTCCCAAATGAGAACCCGGCCATCATCTGAAGAGCTGGCAAAAATGTTATCATTTACTGGGCTCACCGACAACCCATATACTGCGTCTTCATGAGCAAATACATCCAAGGTCTCACTGCTGAGAAACAGAGCAAGAGAGAGGCACACAGGCACACATGCCCACCAACAGTGCAGTCCCAGCCCTCTGGCACCTAGATAGCAGGTTCTTTGTTTTTATGAGAAAGTCAACCTAGGGTTGGCCAAATAGCTCAGTGGATTAAAGCACCTGCAAGCAGGCACAAGGGCCAGGGTTCAATCCCTGGGCCTGCCATGCCTGCCCAGCCCCAGCCTTGAACTGGGGGTGCACTGAGATGTTGATTGAGAATGGGTGTGGTGGCACGCCCCTGTAATCCCAGCTCTTGGGAGGCTGTAAACAGGCAGATCACTATGAGTCCGATCTAGTAGTGAGACCCTCAACACCCTTGTAGACCCTTCCCTAAAATAAAAAAAATTTTTAAAAAGTCAACCTAGTTGAACATAAAAGACACTGTATTTTCTAAAAGCCAACTATTCAACTTACAAATGGGGGGAAAAGGTACTATTTAAAGGTAGCATTTCCAAAAACGTCATAATTTTCACACTAAGCATAATAAAAAGTGACTCAACATCTGAATTTTCTGTTTTCATTTATTACACAATGTATTTGCTTGTATCCGGATTTGAGGGTGGTACTTCATCTCCAAGTATCAAGGAAAAGCTTTAAAGCAGTCAGATCTGATCACAGAAGGGTTGGTAGATTATCTCCTAGTAGTCTGGCATGGTGACTAAGAGCACAGTGGAGCTAGACAGCCTAAATTCAGATCGTAGCATCATTCCCTGTGATTCTTTTCCCTCTTCTGTAATGGAGACTACAAAAGTACCCTTCACAAAATGACTATAGTGGTTAAATCAATTACAGTAATACATACAGAACACTTAGAGTGGTTTCTGGCACATGGTAGTAAGTACTTAATAAATATTAGCTTGATGATGAGGATGAGGATGATTTTGAGACTAGTTCTATGTTGCCCAGATGGCCTGGAGCGCACAATTCTCCTGCCTCAGCCTCCTAAGTAGCTGGGATTATAGGCACGTGCTACCAAATTCAGCTACTATTACTAGTATTATTTCTCTCCCTCTTTTAATCACTTCCCTTATATTTTCACCTGAAAACTGTAATTTATGTAACTTTGTAAATCTCTTTTTCTTTTTATCCTGTTTCGTTTTGAGACAAAGCCTCACTATGTAATTCAAACTGGCCTTGAATTCACCATGTAGCCCAAGTTGGGCTTGGACTTCCAGTAATCTTCCTGCCTCAGCATCTCAATGCTAGGATTACAAACATGTGACACAATGCCCAGCTTATTTTTATTTTTTTGTCTTTTTGAGTCAGGGTCTTGCTATGGCTCAGACTGGACTTTGAGCCCACTTTGTAGACCAAGCTGGTCTTGAACTCACAATAATCCTCCAGGCTCAGGCATATCATCACACCCAGATATTTTCTTTTTTCTATTTTTAAATCAAAATCTTGTTTCAAAAATATCATAAGAAACTTTTTCAGAAAAGGACTACTAGTTTCACATCATTTTCTTGAAAAGCTATCTTGATCTAAAAAAATTTGCCTGTTTCATATAAAAAAGTTAATCACCTTCACACATTAACAATCTATTTACCTTTCAACATCATGGAGGATAACTTGCTCATCATTTCCTGTAAAGGAAGAAAGCAGAGATTTGATAATTTCTGCAAGTTGGTCCTTGTCCACATTACAATGTAGTATTTTTGAGTTTTCGGGGAAAATATGAACACAGTCAGTGTTAGTACAAATTAGGAGTGTTAATTTAAAAAGGGTCTATAAAAGTAATTGAAGGACAGAACATTTTGACAGAATTTTAAGAAAACATAATAGCAATAAGGTATAACACAATAGTAGCTCAAGATATTTTATTCAGTGGATTAAGGAGGAAAAAAACATTTGGCCATTAAGGAAAATAGTAAATGATCAAGTAATTTATTCATCCAAGCTAACTTCCTATACCTCCCAGCAAAACACTCATTAGTTGACACTGGAATAATATCTCTAGCATTTCTATACCTCAGCTGTTTATCTGAACACAGAGAGAGTAATTGTGCCTACTTTATAGCGCTACTGTTAAGGACATGAGTCTGTGAAAGCATTCGGAATGGGTTACGCATCTGGTAAGTCTGTAACAGTGATGGCGAACCTTTCAGAGCTCTCAATACAAACAGTCCACTGCAGGAAGCACATGTGCCAGAGGTTCGCCATCAATGGTCTATAAGTTTTTCTCTTTCTCCTTATTCTATCAAGGGGGTCTAAAAAGATTGTATTTATAATATGACTTCAAAATGTTTTATGTAGACCAAATCCAAAAACTTGAATATAAAAAGATGAAAAGTAAAATGTAGCCTACTCTATGCTTAAATGTACACCCAATAGTCACTTAATAGAAAGCAAAAGTAGCACTAAAGACATGGCTTAGTGCTAAAGAATAATACATTTGAATAAACATTTAAATTTCACACCCCCCCCACGCCCCATAAATTCTACCCCAGGTATATGGAAATGAAATTGGTAAACTCATACTAATGCCTTCTAGGTATCAGGCACAGTGCTAGGTGCTGAGGACATGAGAAGAACAAGATTCTGCCTCATCCTTCAGGAGCCAACAGTCTAAACACACCAACTAGAAGCAGCAAGAGGATTTGTCTTACAGTGATATGGTTTAGCTATGGGATAAGTATATTCTTCATTTGCAGAGAGAAAGTGAATGGGAGAATAATGCATTTGAAGAGACACTGCTATTACTCAAGACTCTACCAAACTTTTAGCAAACTCTTACCACTCCTATTACTTAAAACTCTTACCAATGGAAGAGTACCAGAGAGTTAAGGTACAAAACAAAAGGTGCAAGGGTAAAAAAACAGCACAGTACACACCTATGATGTTGTTTAGTGGGTGCCACAAACAAGTGAAATGAGGTTAGAGACGTAGACTGCAATTGAGATTTTTATTCTATGGGCATTAAAAGGTTAAAAGAATAGTCAAATCTACATGTGTAAGTGAAAATTTATGTAATCAAGGACAGAAGACCACTGAAGCAGCTGAGGCCAAAGATGAAGACCTAAATCAAGGCAGTGGATAACAAAAGTGAGCCGAAACTGAAGGATGAGTTTGAGAGACTTTCAAGAGAGAACTGACAGGACTTAGTGACCACCTATATGCGTAAATGAAAAAAAGCTAAGTTTCAGGATGGCTTTAAGATCACTATTAATAAAAACCATATAAAACTGTTGGTTTTATAAGTTGAAAATGGCTACATGTTAACAGTTTATT